TCTCTCTCTCCCCCCTCTCGACGAAAACGTACCTCTGTACATCGTCCTCGGCGCACGACTTTTCTATTAGTTTCGTTTGCTCGTACTACTCGCCATGTGTGCGATGTTCTGTGTAGACTTTCCGACACTTTTCGGCGCGACGCTGACGAATTCTTCGCGACTGACGTCGAAATATGCGACATCATCCGGGCAAGGTAACGACTGATCGAAGAAAAGAGCGCTGCTGAGGAGCGCGCAGTTGACACGTTCCGCAAATTAAAAGTGCAATTCTTTCGATCGGGCTGCGTCCCGGGCGAAATTTCGATCGCATTCGACACGCGAGAGAGGCAAAACCGACGGCAAAAGCGACGTTTCTCCACCTTGTCAAACGTGTTAGGCAAATTTAACGAGATCCTTTCGTGCATTCTCAGATAGCACACGATATTCTATGCATATTCTATGGACGTTCTTAGAACATTGAAACATTCCTTGAACGTCTTTAGGATGTCCCTGGAAAATTTGTGCTATTGGGGTTGGTTCGTGGTAATTTGCGTGGATAATTGAGAATGATGAAGTGGATGACGCAGCATTACGCCGCCTGACGCAGGGCGGCTGTCGCGGATTAATTGTACAATTAAACGTATTGATTAATTATGATCGATGTGTGGAGAATTGGCAACATAGACAAATCAAGAGCGTAGGCAAAAGAGGCGAAGGCGCACGGTCGAACATACATATGTCAATTTTTCTAACGCACGTATCACACGCGCAAGCGACCACTTCGTTGCGTAATTACGAGAGGAGAGATATGTATGCGATAATTATATAAACGAAGAAGCGCCCCGCGCGCTCAAGTACACCTTTATATTTCGCACGCCTTGTACGACGGGAGAAAGGAAGCGAGCAGTGGCAAGCAGAGAAACGAAGCGAGCGATTACGATGGAGCAACCCTCGAAGATTCGTCTGTCCGATCCTCGATATATTTCGTGCATCGAATCCAATCGAACTCTACTGTATTTGCTTTTTCAACCTTTTTCAACCATCAAGACGTATGTACGATCTATCTTGTATCGTGAGACGAATAAATTAATATAAATGTACAATCGAGTGGCTTGTAATTCTCCTCCGACCGACCGTCTCGTTGCGCGAACGTCCAGTTAAGAAATCTTTACAATGCAGAAAAGTAACGGCAGACTACCGGTAAGGAAAAGTTAATTCGTGATCAATCGCGTACTGAAAAATATTTTTCCTATTTTTATCACGATTCGATAACAATTCTGATATTCTCAGTTTTCTGTTCATTAAATTATATATGATACGTCGATAGAAAATGTTGCAACCTTATTCTACTCGATATAAGGTACTTCATTATTTAAAAGTTTTCTCAAGGAGATGTTTCCTAGATAGCAAGTTCACAAATTTTTTTCAAAGAAATAAATAAAGATATCAATATAAGGTTTTAGCCATATTATCTATCATTGTTTCCAGTACAAACAATTTTTATACTGAAAATATCTTTACTCATTTATACTGGAAATATCTTTACTCATTTCGGAAAAAATATTCGTAAAAACCTTCTATTTCTCGACTAAGCCCTCAAAAAAGCCAGCATATTAAAAAATGCAAATATTCTCGATTCTTTTGTGGAAATCAAATGTTTCACGACTCCAAGATCAATAGATACAAAAGTTTCAACCATTTCCGTCCATTTCAGGCATCCAATGAAGTCGACCTGATTCAAAGATATTTATTGAATCGAGCAGTTAAAGAGACTGTTTTCAATTTTGTTTTACAGAGATAATTTCAAACGTACGCTCAACCGAGAAGGACTGAAAACCTTGCGTTTCTACGACAAGAATACACAAGAAACTTGAAGTGCAAGTTACAGTGCTGAGGTTTGTAAAATATGCCTCATCAGAGGGCTAGCTGTGTTCTTGATCGATCGACTCGTGCGACGCATTGTCGATCTTGGACGTTTGCATCGCGGCTGGGTTCTCCTCAGTCCGTATTATAGGCTCGCCGTCGAGCTTCTCCAAAGTCGGTAAACGTCGCGCGACCTCGCTCCTCCATTGCTCCACCTGCAAGTTCCATCGAGCAAACATCAGTCGAAGTTTCGCCGAATATTTACCGAGAAATACCGATGATCACACTGCAATACCTCGAGACTCTCGTAGAGCGGATTACCGACGAACAGCAAATCCCTGATATTCTGAAGTTCCTGCAGGCGCATTAATTCATTCCATTCTCGCACCAGATTGTTCGACATGTAGAGTACACGGAGGTTTTTCATCGCTTGAATGCCCTTCATCTTTTCAATGCAATTGTAGGAGATCCAGAGCTCCTCGAGAGTGTCGCCCAAAGCCTCAAGACCGGCAAAGCTCTTGATTAAATTGCGACCTAGCGAGAGAATCTTCAAGCTTTTCAGAGATCCGACACCTACGGGAAAAGACGAAACGTCAATAGACTGAAAATTAATTTAAATATATAAAATAGTGTGTTAACAATAATAATTTCTCACTTCATTATTCCTATAAAGCACAAATCTTCAAAGGACGTTCTAAAGACGTTCTAAGGACATTCATACATCCTAAGAACGTCCCAAAATATTCTCTGAAGATTTAGTGCTATCTGAGTTACATGTATTCTATATTTCACATTATGATTATAGATATGATTACAATTAGAGAAAAAATACCTAAAAATTTATTTAGTGAGTACTAACAGCATATTTACTTAAATCTAAATTCTTTTATTTATATAGAATAAATAATTACTTTCTTAAAAACTAAGGTTTTTCCTAAGACTTTGAGAAGATATTTTCCTATTTGGAAAATATTTGATATTTTCCTATATGAAAAATATTTGATATCAGCGTAAGTAAATATGTTGTTAGTACTCGCCAAATAAATATTTACTATTCTTTAGGTATTTTTAAAAGAAAATGAGCAGGAAGATAATATATAAAAATAAATGCGAAAATATTAGAAAAATGTAGGGCCGAGTCTTAACGTGAGAAAGTGGGTTCTCGGGTAAGTTAATCCGAAGAAATCGTGTGTTTGATATTACATTAAAAATAATTATCCTTTCGAAAATAAAGTATAAATTACACGCCAAGACCCGCGACACTCTTACTGACTGTTCCATGCTTTAATAAATATTACATTGCGCCTGCAGTAGAATTTAATATATCGTAAGCGGAATTTATCGATATAAATGACCCAATAATAATCATTACAAATTACACGATGTCATTTATCGTCACGGAGAGTACAACGTTAATTATAATCGCGAGCTATATAGGCGACAATAATTGAAGACATTAACGCGCTCGTACATTACATTCGTAATGACGTGAAATTTATAATCATGTTCGTATCGCAATTGCGTCGCGTTACTGAGACAACCGGCCGTCTGTACATGCATTATGCATCCGGCAGTTGACACGAAGCCGAATATGCATCGGTTCCGATGTGCCGCCATCTAAAATGTCACGTAATTTACATAAATCGATCGATTCGCGATTAAACGTTGTTTCATCGATACGAGAGCAGGATACGACAGGAACATATTAAAAGAGGACAAAAAGAGTACTATTTGTGCATTTGAACGTCGAGCGCGTATTCGTTAAGGCGTAAAAAATTGCAACTAACATACAGTTGCAATATATATTGCAATTAGCATCATTTAACGATGGAAAGTAAATTATAAGGACTATGTTTACCGCGCGAGACGCACGCACGTTTAAATAAAACGCACTAGGGGGTTCGGTTTAACATCGTGATGATAAATTCAGGTTATATCAACACGGAGAAAAATAATTTACTGGCCCAGCAAATTTTCTGCTAGTCTAGCAAAATCTTTTCGTTATTATATGGACAGCAAAAAGATTTGCTAAGAGTACTAATCACTATTTGCTGGATATAATTTGCTGAATCTACAAATTATTTTGCTTTAAGAACCATGATGGATTTATATAAGCAGTTGCAGTTTCGTTCCGATAGCAAATAAATTTGTTAAAGATACATTGTTTCGCATCAATAGCAAATTAACGTGATTCTTAGGACAAATACACTCAACAAATTTTTTCTATTCTGGCAACGAAACTACTTTCGCTCTGATAACGAATAATTTGTAAAATTAGTTGCGTCTACTAAATTTTTTTGATATCACGACTACGAATATTCAGTAGCAACGACGATTTTGCTAAAAGAGCAAAGTTATTTTTCTCCATGAACGAGAGCTCTCCGTATAATCAATCTTTAATCAAACGAAACGAATTCGCTCGTATTTACGTGGGCGAGTTATTTCTCTTCCGATCGACGATGTGTGTCCACTTGTTAAAAGCAACATCCAGGAAGAGAATTCTAGTTGCAGGCTGTTATTGCCTGTAATCCCATACGCTCCAAGCTTTACTGAGAGAGTATCTCTCTTGTAATGAAATAGACTGTAAATCTACTGGAAAATCGACTGGATATATTATTCTAACTTTATTTTCTTTTAATCAAGAGAGATATGTTTACTCGAAACAGAAAGCACTTTTACTCGAAGAAATTTCTATTAAGAGCAAGACTTATGAAAAGACTTATGAAATTCCTTCAGATTCAAGAATATTGTGCTTAGAATAATTTCCTTTTGATTTTAGAAAAATCCTCTTCAGGCCGTATCAGCCTACACGGAGAAAAATAATTTTGCTCTTTTAGCAAAATCGTCGTTGCTACTGTATATTCGTAGTGACATCAAAAAAATTTAATTGACATAACTAATTTTACAAATTATTCGTTATCAGAGCAGAAGTAGTTTCAGTTGTCAGGATAGAAAAAATTTGTTGAGTGTATTTGTCCTAAGAATCATTTTAATTTGCTATTGATGCAAAATAATGTATCTTTAGCAATTTATTTGCTATCGGAGCAAAACTGCAACTGCTTATATAAATCCATCTTCTTATAGCAAAATAATTAGATTCAGCAAATTATATCCAGTAAATAGTGATTAGCACTCTTAGCAAATCTTTTTGCTATCCATATAATAACGAAAAGATTTTGCTAGACCAACAGAAGATTTGCTAGGCCAGCAAATTATTTTTCTCCGCTCGATCCTCTGAATAGAGGACTTTATCGAAATCCCTTACGATTCAGAAGACTCCGCAAAGAATGAGACTGTATTTTTTGAGGTGAGCGATGATGACTACGCGCTTTTCGGCGGTAGGAATTGCAAGGCGCGAATTCCTACCTGCGATTTTCTCGACCATGTTTGTCGACAGGGAGAGTTTCTCGCAGCTCGCCAGCACAGCCAACGCATTGTCCATCCTTTCAATCGGCGGCCATTGAAAGCCTATAATCACCTCCGTCGCCTTAGCCGCCTCCTGCTCGTTCTCCTCTTCCCATCGTCGAATGGCTTCCTTGCAAGTGGTCGGTTTAGTCGCCATGGACAGATCACAACGTTTCTTCTTGCAACATCGAAAAGGGACTTCCGAAAAATATATCTAGAATATTTCTTGCGTGCGCGTAACACACGCACGAAATATGAGAGAGAGAAATACTCGGCGACACATTGCGCTGATATTTCGGCACGTGGACGTTACCGGGGATAATGCGGGAAATAACTGCAAGAATGTTATCATAGTTAATACTCCATGTATAATATTGGGTTTGTGAAATTCGAAATAACAAGTCTAAAGAGCCTGAGGAAATTTCAAAATAGCGCAAATCATCTTGCAGATTTCGATTTTATTGCGCCACTATTTTACAGCTGAGATTTTTATATCTCTGGAAAAAGATATGTAAGAAAACATTTATTTTCAACAAAGTTATAGCAGTTCAAAGCTGCTCGGACATGTCTGATTTTGTATGTCTCAAAAAGTATTGTCGTACGCAAAGGATTAATAGCAACGAGGTGCTTTGTTAGTCAAACGAATCGATGGTCAAAGTGGCACGCGATGAGACGCTAATTGCGAGAGCAATTAAGGATGTATTGTTCGCATAGGCCCTGTAAAAAGTGACTGAAAATTATAAATATTCCAATATTATTACCTCCAATATAGATTATCTCCCAATTCCTTTAAGATCTGCTCATTATTTTTGGGACAAGAGCAATACACTCCATGAAGCAAGCGACTTCGGCTTCAGAGTATATTTTCCTTACAGTATCTGCCTCTGTCGTCCCGCACGCGCAGCAATTAGCAAAATTGAGTATATACTTGTGTCATTGCGCAACGCGTGTTAGATAACACGCTGGCGAGACGTCAAGGAGCGCGGAAGCGTTCCGTTCCGCGAGCGTCTCAAAGGGCAGCTCGTGCACGAGGTGACACGTGCGCCTCTCCACGTGTGTGCGTTACGTCGTTGTACGCATAAATATATTTCAACTCGCTTACATATATATACATGTACACTTTGTACACTTGATATATATAACCACCTTATATATACGTGAATAAACAACGCGGCCAGCTTCCCTCCTTCTCTTCACACCGACGCGGCAAGGCGCTCCCTCGAGCTACGCAACCCCGACTCGACCAGCTCGGACGACCGGTCGGCTATACCTTCTGGACGCATCTTTCCAGCACTGCTGCAGAATCGGCTAGGTTCACGTGTCGTTACCACGCACTCTCCGGGGTTACCAGGACTGTTTAGCTCGGTCGCATGGCAAACTGCCACACGGAAAGAGAGGCCGACGATATCTGGCAGCCGGCGAAATAATCGATTCGCAAAGCGCATGCGTCCCAAGCGGATATTTATTAACCAAGCGTCGCGATAGATAGATAGATAGATAGATAGATAGATGGATAGACGATGATAGATTTACGATAAATATCGGCTGTCGGAGGGGAACAGAAGAAGCAGAAAAAGGAACAACAGCTCGGATCCCCTCCTCTGGGAAAAATTACGCACGCTCGGCGCGTGCGATCGATGATGCAATGATGTGTGTTAATTTCTAATTCTATCCGTGGAAGAGACGCTCTCCAACCGGTGCAGATGATGATTAATGCGGAAGCGGCGAATCTGCACATGATTGATTTTTATCACGTGCATACATACAGTTCGCGCATACAAACAGAGCGTGCCGAGATCACCGACGTGCTGCGAGAGACCTTTCGGCGACTCCAATCGATCCAACTTGATCTTCTCTTGGAGGAAATCCAGGGAATCTACTCGCGCCAATTTCCCAATGCCCGACAGTGAAGATTACAGTAATGATTACAGTAGAAATGAAAATTTCGAAATTGGATACATTGAGAAAAAAAATATTTAAAAATTTATAAGTATTTAGTAGATGAGTATCATTAACATACTTAAATTAAAATTCTCTTCATCTAAACCGACTATTGTTTACTTAAATCGAGTAAACAATACTCATTTTAAATGAAAAGAATTTTAATTTAAGTAAATATGTTAATTTTTAGGTATTTTTTGCTCTGTGTAGGATTTTCCTTTTCTTATCTTTCCTTCGTCGCGCTGAAGAGACTCGCTTTGTCTTCGATTCTTTCTGGGGAAGGAATGAACGCTACGATATTTTATTTCGAGGAACGAGTTAGAGACAGGAATTTATTTATCGCGCTTTTCTCATCAATCAAACCGCGAATACGTGTAAATCGACGGCCCTGTAAAATCCGCGTATCGACGAGTTGCACGGACGTTGACGAGCGGCACGGTTCGTCTCCTCCCGCGAGAAGAAGTTTCTTCCTGCTTTCTTCTTTTCCTTTTCTTCTGACATACACCGAGACAAAATTCCGAGGCTGACGAGCCTCCCTTTCGCAAGTGATCGTCGATGATGTCGGATTGCAGCAGCGGGCATTTTTCTCAGCATTTTATTAACCAAAGGACTGGCAGTATTGTCACGTCACGTATTACAGCGAGTAAACACAATGACACTTTAACACTAAGTTACATCCACAGCTTTTTTTGGGAGACGCTAATGACACGGATGGAGAACGATCGGAGATTTATCGGCGGCGTAACTCTTACGACACGCAGGAAAACGTAAGGGGGGTAAGACTTTTGAGCAATAAGAAAATTGACCAGTCACAATCGATTATTCTCGAATCGTGAGGAGAATGATCGACTGTGGTTGGTCAAATCGTTTACTGCTAAGTTTTACTGCTTGCTCAGACATGAAGAAAAGAAGAAACCAGTAAGAGTCCATGCAAGATGTCGACTGCAAAATTTCTACACTGGGAAGAATGACGACCGAGACATTCGATTGACTTCTCGAGACGCTTAATGCCCTTTTTCTTCTTGGTTCATTTGTGGATATAGTATATTTCACAATTGACATCTTGTTGTGGGATTTTATTGACTTTTGTTATCTGTTTTTGATTTGAGAGTCTGATAATTTATTCAATAATTTATTTATTTTTACTATTTATGTTTTTTCTGTGTGCTTCCAGCCTTATAATTGTGAAACAGTCCTCGGGAATCTCGGACACAGGTGTATACAGGTATACACTTGGAACACTTCTCACCTTGCTTGTCTCACCTTTTCTTATCTCTCTTTCTCTGTCTCTCTTCCTCCCTCACTTCAATCTGCGAAAGCGGAAGGGCTCGTGCAACTTCGCGCGATTTCCGACTTGCAAGTTACGCCACCGCGAGTGTGTGTATGCGTGTATGTGTGTGTTATGTGTGACGACGACGCGGCGATCTCGCGGGTCAACATGACAGAAATCAACACAACGAATACAAATGTGTCGGTAATATAATATATGTATAATAATAAAAATTATTACACAGAGAGTGCGATACTCACAAAAAATACTTCTACACCAAGTTAGCTTAAATTACAAAAATACGCAAAGGCACTTAGTAACAATCTTGAGTTTCTCGTTGAGAGACATTCTTACGAAAGAAAATCGTGGAGAACTGAAGAGAAGATTTGTCGCGCTGTCTTATCAGAGATCCTTATACTCTGATCGTCGGTCGTTCCTACCAACGACGACGATGACGATGACAACGATTACGAAGAATGCCGGAAGAAACTCCCAAATCTTTCGTTTCCCTTTTTTCTTTCTTGTTTTTTATCGGCTTCCTTATTCGACTCGTAAGGACACCTTTCAGAATGTTGAATGTCAGAACGTCGAACGAGAGAGGTCTCGTGTTAATCTGAAGTCTGAATCTTTTCCTCGTACACATATATAGCCGTTGAAGGATGAAAAAATGGAAGAAAGGTTGCAGAGTCATCGCACGTCATCGACGCGCATTGTTCCCGTTCACGTGGGTGTTCACGCGGATTATTAAGTTCTTCGCGGCTTCTCTAATTTCATCTCGCGCTAACTGTTATATAGAATTCGCTGAGAGAGATGTACACAAGCATAGAGATCGCGAAAAATAGATAACTTCCTATAGATATACTCTCCTTAAAGACTCGAAAAGGATATATCTTTGTACGAGACTATAGTTTTAGACACATACGTCACACTACGATGCTCGTTCGTTCGCAACGAGGAAGACACGCAAAACGTGGTGGATTTCATTTCCGCCGCGGCGGGATGTTGCATACAAAATGCCGCAATCAATTAATCGCGCGTTACTCACTGATGACACTTGATTGATGTGAGAAATGCGACTGCGAAGTACAAGTACAAAATAATCCTGCATGACGAAGAAATTCACGCGAATTGGAAAATCTAATTTCCAGAGGGAAAGCAAATTAGTCGATACTCGCAGTTCTATTGTGAAACTTTTTACATGTATAAAAAACTGGATTAAGGTGAGCCTATAAAACCCTTATTCACAGTCGTTACTTGAAATTTGCCTCACGTGAGATATACAGAAGTGAATTCAGGTGTCAATTATTTAATAATTCTTTATTAACAGAACAAGATAATCTCTCTAAAGTTACAAGAACTGCAAAAAAGAGAAAAATGAGAACGAAAATTATTAAAGCATTTACCAAAAAATAAGCAGATTTAGACCAAGTAGGTTTTGTTATAATAACCTTAAAAACTTATTAATAATAAAATAATAATAATTACTTACAAACTCGTCTCACACGTGAAATATTCAGATTTGAGCTTAGAGTCCAAAGTTTCTGGGTTAAGTCTCTGAGTTTTTTATGTGAGTCATACATGCGATATCATGTTTGTCATGCTGGGATTCATCTGAAAAACTCATCAATCTGACTCTAAATTCAGATCTGGCTACTTCATTTGGGACGAATTTCCAAGTAACGACTATTAATAGCTTCAGAATCCGATCCGCGTTCGTCAGCTGTGTCATATGACACACGCGGCCTCGTATTGATAATCTCGATTCGACTGAGAAATCCGCATCCAAACTTTGAAGTCGAGTACGAGTGTCTCACGTGCGACACGAAGTTTCAAGTGTGACGGCTATTAATACGGGCCTAAGTCTCGATAACAACCAAAGTACTATTTAAATAGCGCGCAAGAATATATAACACGTGTTTACTCTTCGCGAAGTGCACGCGGAGTATTTCTCCTAACCGAAATAGACACGTTAAATGGCAGAGTAACGATTTTTCTACGAACGGGAGAAACTTAATGTCAAGTAACATTGGCGTTATTGCAGACTGTCGGACCGTAACGCGATAACGCACTACAGGAAGTTGATTGGAGCGCGAGAAATTAATGGCATTTTGCGATTACGAGCCAATTTAACGGGAATAGCGGCGGTATTTTGTTTGCGACAGCATAATGCCGCCACGTGGTGGAATCGACACTTGTCAACGGGGATTAGAGGAGTATACGTGATGTGTGCGGGTGTGTGTATATCTGTGTTGTGTGTCTGTATGTGTATATGTGTGTATAGATCATGCATTGCACGTGAGTAATAATACGCTCTTACACGTAATTTTTTCTTTTTCTTTTTTTTTCATTTTTCTTTCGCGTATATATATGTACATGTACATACTAGATAAAAAGATTAAGTAATTGGTCTTATTATACAGTAGTAAGGTCATACATCTTAATGGCGACTAGGTTCATGCCATGGTCCAGTTTAATTCCCCCCCCTCCCCCCTATATCGTCATGATCAATTTGAACTTTTTGATTGCATTATTCAGCGTCGTATATATATATATATATCGTATGATTCCACGGCGCCGTGCGGAAGTGACGTGTAGAACGCCGGTCGTGTCGCCGTGCTCGTTCCTCGTGTAGTCTATATATATCTATATATATATGGAGCACCTAAGAAAATATAATCTCATCTTTGAAGGAATTCTCCTGAGTCCTAAAGGCATAAAACTCCAATTTTTTTAAGTATTAAGTTCTACATCAGGGATTACACTAGAGGATACAAAAATATTTTTCTCAGAATTCTTAATTCTGTTTATATTTAGCAGCGCAATCAGACTTCAAAAATGCTAAGAAAAAATTTCTATGTATTAATCAATAGTCCAACATGCTGGACATGTGATTTCACACATTTCGAGTATAAAGAGAGACAGATTATAGATTTGGAAAAGTATCCAATTGACTGAACATTAGGTCTGAGGAAGTTAAATATAGCCTCAAGACGATGCTTTTAAAGCCAAAAGAAAGACTCTAATTGCAAAATGTAATTATTTTCCGTAATTTCAAATTCTAAGCGAAAACTTTTACCAAAAAAGTATTCCTCTCCTGATGAAGTGGAAATATTAGTCGGAAATCTATTATATATTGTTTTAACTTTTTTTTAAATTAATATTTGAATTGAATTGTTGAATTTGAGTTGAATTGAATTGAATATTTTCTTTGAATATGTTTACTTGAAGCGGAATGTTCTCTTATTAGGAGAAATTTCTATCAAAAAAGAGAACAAAAACTTTAAATATGAAAGACAAAAATCCTCTAAGAATATAGTGAACGAAATATTTTCCCCTTGGTTTTAAAAGAATTCTCTTGAAGCTATATGTGTGAGAGGATTTCACTGAGAATGAGATTATATTTTCTCGGATGAACACCGGCGAAAAACGCGCGACACTTCGTCGCCGATTACCTGTTTGCGGATGAAATTCATTCAACTCCTTCAGTCCCGAATAACTCTGAAAAGAGAATCCGCACGCGAAGTACACTCGAGCGACGTCTCCAACGGACATCACGAGTGGATCGGACATCCAAAATCGGCAAATATTTTAATGAACAATTTAACGATGCTACTTGAAATATTAAATGAGACGAGAATCGAACAGTTTTCGCGCGCGGGTAAAGCCACGCCGGAAGAAAGTTGCCGATAAATGGCGCTTCGGGACCGTAAAGGTTAATCGTTTCTCGCCGGGTAATTATTCCAGCCTCAGCAGACAGGCGCGTGGAATTGAGCTCTCGATATCCCCTCTGCATCTCCTCCCCACGCCTCGTTAACCAGCGTTTTTTCACTAATTGGCACTTCGTTCGCCCGACGCCGCTACTTGTGGTCCGTTTTGGTCCTCGGACCGCTCTCGTCCTCCAGACAGGATAACGAGGTATTCTCGTTGAGCCTTAAGCGACTTCAATTACGAGAATTCGGCGTTCAGTTTGACAAGCCATTCGTCGACTCGTCATCCATCGCGCTATTACACGAGCTACCATTCTCGCGACTCTGACTAATCTTGCTCGATCGACGCGCAGAAATTTCTTCATTCGTTCTTTCTTTCTTTCTTTCTTTCTTCCTTCGGAGACGTTTTACGACGGAACCTCCTCCGATTGGGGAGAGAAGGCCCCTCGAATCGTACTTACGTCCCGAAGAGCAGAGGTCGGAGACGGCCCGACGACTTCCGGCGATCGCGTCGACTTAAAGTACGTGGAGGTTCTCGCAGTTCTTGAACTTGCTGTCCTCCTTGCCGAACAACCAGGTCAACATCTGCCTGGCCTTCATGCTGGCGCGCACCACGCCCCTGGATTTGTACCAGTGAGCGCTGCCCTCGCTGCCACTGCCGCTGTTTCGATTGTCCAGCTGACCCTGGACCACCTTCAAGCGGATCTGATTCAGTATGCCGACCAGGAGGTCGTCGACGTTGTGGTTGATGCCTACCGACACCTCGACGAACTTGGCGCGGTACGTGCAAGCCAGGCATTTCCCGTCTGCAACGCACGAATGTGATAACGGACGCTTAAGCCTAATCTACAATGTGCTCTTTGCGTTCTATTTCTTGTTTTCTGTCTTTTTCTGACTTAAAGCCTAATCTACAATGTGCTCCTTGCGTTCTGTTTCTTGTTTTCTGTTTTTTTCTGGCTTAAAACTTAAGCCTACAATATGCTCTTTGCTTCCTGCTTCTTTCTCTTTATCTCTTTCTGACTCAAACCTTAAAGCCTGATCTACAATATGCTCTTTACGTTTTGTTTCTTGTCTTCTATCTTTTTCTGGCTTAAAACTTAAGCCTACAATATGCTCTTTGCTTCCTGCTTCTTTCTCTTTATCTCTTTCTGACTCAACCTTAAGCTTTAAGCCAGAAAAAGATAGAAGACAAGAAACAGAACGCGTATTGTACAACAAAGAGCATATTGTAGATCAGGCTTTAAGGTTTGAGTCAGAAAGAGATAAAGAGAAAGAAGCAAGAAGCAAAGAACACATTGTAGATCAAGCTTAAGAGTCACGCTTAGGATCTCCGCACAAGAACATCCGTAACATATTAAGTTTACGGATTTCGTTGTGCTTTGACTTAAGTTTAATTTTACGTACAGGTATGACCATTGCATTGTCAGTACTTAACGTAACGTAACGTGTTACGGATAGTCTTGTGCACAGGCTCTTAGGATACGGATACTCGAAAACGTATACTTTTGAGTGGATATTTTTAATTCTCTATTCAAAACCATATCTTAATCCTTTGCAACACTACTCTTAGGATACGGATATTCGAAAACGTATACTTTTGAATGGATATTTTTAATTCTCTATGATATTCAAAACCATATCTTAATCTTTTGCAACACTACGTTGCTTTGAACTTATACTTGTGGTCTTCGAGTCTCAATTGTTTAAAACCTGTTAGTTTTTATCAACGTGAAGTACTTTACTCTCCGATAATTTTGAATTCAACACAGCTCAAAGTATGATGATCAAATATAACGAACTTATTTTAAAAAATAATTTATTGATAAATTATAAAACAGATATCCCAAGGTGCAACTTGTGGTTCTCGAGTCTCAATTGTTTGAAATTCGTTAGTTTTTATCAACAGAATGTAGTACTTCTTTTCCGAAAATTTTACACTTTTCAAAGTAAGTATGATGATCAAATACAGCGGGCTTATTTTTACCTAGAGGAATACTTGAGATACACTCTGTCGTTTCAACCGAACAATCGATTCTGTAGAGTGTCATAAAACCGCCTAACCATGAGGAGGTATAGATATACGTAAAAAAGAGAGATGGCCTGTCTCTTACCTTGCGGCGAGACCACTCTGGAGCGAACCAAATCGACCTTGTTGCCGACCAGAATAGCCGGTCTACCACGAAGAACATCTTGATCGTGTAGTCGGGCGAGATACTCCTCGGCCCTTTGAAAGGACGCCTTGTCGATCACCGAGTACATCACGACGAATGCGTCCGGCAGCGGCATCTTGTCCAATTCGCTCTGCACGAACGAATCACGCTTGTGATTCAGCATTTCGTTCATCCCCCGAAATTCACGCGTTCCGTCGCGAACAGAACGAATGAGCAAACGTTACGTCCCGAGAAATCGTGTTTGAATTGAAAATAGAAAAGTAATTAAAGAAAAAGAGGAAATTGAAAGATACAATCTGTAATAATTTTCCCCCGCCTCTTATCACATCGGTTTAATTCCTTCGCTAAGTAACTTCGTTACTTCGACTTCGTTCTTTCCTGCTCTTCGTTACTTCGGTCTCTAATGAACTCGGTGTATGCTAATTCTTTCGGATGTGCATTTATATTCACGGTGTGCGATTAAAGCCGGCAGTTTATATTAATTTCTCGCGACTAACTCTAATTTCTTTTTATTTCTCACGGAGTATTGTGTAAGGTGCATTAAGTGTACACGTAGAAAATATTGCAGTAAGAATTATAACAAAATCCTTGTGATCTTGGACCATACAGAATAATGATTGAAATTACTATTTAAAAATGTTAAGTACTTAAGACTTCTTATTACAAAATCATTGATACAACTTGAATGTTTTTATATCGTAGTAGACAGCAAGTAGATCAAATTTACTATTTCTGCACTGAGAAGAAATAATTGAAAGTTTACTTGTGGGATATATCAAGTTTATTTGTGTGAAATAAAATTTATTTTTGTGAAATAAAAAAAGCTTACTTTTCTGTGAATGAACTTTATATCTCACTAATAAATTTTCAAGTACTTTTTTCTCAATATAATAAGTAATACTACGATTTTAGTATAATCCAAAACACATTTTAGTATAATCCAAAACAGATTTTAGTATAATACAAAACACATTGTAAGAACAAATATAAATTTAACGTAAATTTACTATAATATTTTCCCCGTGCGTTGTGTTGATCGTGTTGTCTTAAAAAAAAATTTTACTCCTTTTTCATACATAAATAGCAAATTATATAGTACTTGTAATTTTTCCAATAATTGCTCTTACCTTTGGATTGGCGATATTTAAAAATCTAAGCTCGCTCTCTTCTCCGTTCAACATCACAAAAACCGACTGCTCGCTCGGCACATCTGCAATAAGAATAAAAGATGGATAAATTCTACGGACGCTCGTCCTTCAGGAAAGAACTTTTTATGGTAGATCGAATATCGTAAGAAATCTAAAGGGAAATAAAGATAACATAGGCACATAGGCGCGTGTAAATATAATATTCCTAAAAGAATATCAGAGTATATTCCCTGGAAATCGCAAAGTTGCTGCATTACGCTCTCATGAAAAAAAAATGTATATATATATATATATATATATATATATATATATATATATATTATGTACACAAAAATATTAATCCAACTATCCAAACAAGCAGTTCAACGATGGAAATTAACTGTGGCCGCCAACGGACAATCGATTAAACTGACGCCAGTTGCATCGAGGAAATTTATTGAAAAAACACGACTGATTTCATACACGACTGATTTCTTGGTAGTAAAAGTACATCTCACTGCAAAAAACATTTCCGATTTCAAATCAAATGATAAATCTAGCATTTGTTTATTAAAAAAAAAAAACCTCCCTCGAACAACTTAAACAACAAATTTTATTTCTCCTACAGAATAATTAATATTTTTCGTTTTTCTCTCCGCGAAACCTTTCCCACGGTAGATTAGCAGGATGCTTTATCTGCGAGATACTCGATCTCATTTGCTTTTTCCACTTTTAATCGAATGTCGGCTCTCTTTTTTGTCTCCCAGAGTGACGACTCGCGTTTAGTCTCATCGCGCACCTTGCGCTTTTTCTTCCGGACAAAAGAAAGATGGGCAGAAACGAAAAAAAGAAAAGGACAGACACCGTTACGATTTACCGGGCTCATTTATCTTTCTCTCTTTTTCCCTTCTTCTCTCTCTCTCTCTCTCTCTCTCTCTCTCTCTCTTTCTTTCTCTCTTACCAGTCGACGAAACGAACGAGATGGTGGAAAAATAATCAAAGACGCAAATAAAACGCGCTTGAAGGGAAACTACCGGGCCAGGAGAACTCGTTCTCGTCGCGAACGTGCAAAGGAGAAAGAGGGAAAGAAGGAGAGAGTGTGAGAGAAAAAGATAGAAAGAGAAAGAGAGAGAGAGAGAGAACTGGCCGACGTAATCCCATGCGTCTAAATACGTCGCGCAGACCGCCGCACAGCTGTCAAGAGCACCGCCGATTGATTTTGGCCACTGACGAAACGCCGTCAATGACGTCAGGGATTAGACCGGGTGTCGTTGTCCTAACTGATCTTTTTCCGACGGAGATGCAATTTCGCGGTTGCCAACTGCGCTCGCTACGAATAATGAACGTCTCGAAAACGCAGCTATAAAGTCATAGGTTAAGGGGATATTTTGGTTTGGAAAGTCGCAAAAAAAGAATTTTTACAAGAAAACAAAAAAATCGCGTCATGTCAAACTTCATTGATTATAAATTCATTGATTCATTATTGCAGATTATACGTCAATTTTTTTTTAGTAATAACTCAAAAAACTTTACAAAATTTTACAATTGTCTGCAAAATGGTAGAGGAATTTTGTATTCAGTTTCATTGAGTTTTACCTGCACACAACGAGTGAATCAACAATTGTCAGACACAACTGCGTATATACAGATTTTACAGAAATAACGGGGTGTCCCAGTTCTTGCGAGTTTTTAATTTATACACACGTTCTCTGTGCAATTTAGAATTAATTTTTTCTCATCGAAAATATCGAGGGAGCTCACAATTCATGGTGACTTGTCAATTTTTTCTCACGTAACATATATTTTTAAGTAAGGCGCAAAGAAAATAAAATTCTCTCTGTCAAAGTAAAGGCCACCTGAAATTGACAGAGGTAAACAATTTTGTTATCCACTCGGTCGTTCGAAGTTTCGTTCGCTCCACTTTTTCGAGCGTTTGTATCTCAGAAATCCGTCGGCGTTTTCGCTCCTGGGAGCGTTTGAAGAAAGGTTGACTCTGAATCACTCAGAGAGCCTGTCAGCATAAATTAAAGTCGCGCGAACTGGGACACCCTATTTACAGATTTTAAATTTGTCAAAAATAACTCATTTTGCAGGCGACCCGAAGTTTCCAACGCTGCCGAAATCCGACTTCCGAAATCGTGAGTTACCGTATCACGTCGACGTTACCAGACGACAACAGTCGCTCGTCGCGGTGTCGCACGATAAATGCCGACAGCCGCGAGATATTCCCCGAATCGCCGGCGTAAATTCGCGACGTGGAGTCTCGTGCGGCCGGCGGTTGCCAGAAAATGGAGGTCAACGGTCAGACACGGTTGGCTCAGCGGATGTGTGTGCGGCAGTGTCACGCGGAAAACGCGAGGGGAAGAACGACAAAAAGAGAAGTCGAAGTGATACATCTCTCGATCGCTCACTCGAGCAAGGAGAAATCATGATGAGGCTCAACGAAGAAGAATGCGACGCGATACGCAGAACGTCCCACCGGCTGCATCCCTTGTTTTATCGATATTTCTCATCGAATGTTTCCTGATCGGTTACAGAAATTTATTGGTATTTTAATCGGAAATATCCGTTTGTTAATTTCTTCGAATAATTTTTCTCAGTGTGAGATGCTATAACTAGTTGCTCGGTTATACAAGTGAAATGACTGAGAAAAAATACTTGAAAATATTCGTGGGACATAAAGTTTCCTGCGAAATAACATCTATTTCGCTGAAATAAAATTTATCTCTATCGCGCGAATAAATTTTATATCCCTTATCCTTAATAAATAAATAATCAAATATGTTGTTTTCTGTATATTATTTCTACAATCAGCAAAATCTCGCCGAAAAGATCAGTTAATATGTTTATTGTTCCCATTTTCTGTGCTATTTGCAAACGCAGACCGCGTGCATCACATGCATGGCGCATGAAAGCTGTTGATTCCATCGTCGCCAACGCAAAAAATTGGATTTCGCGAGCGTACAACGAATCTGTATGCTACAGACACATTTCATAGTGAAATCTTGCCATCGCTGGTAAAAATCAGCGAGGGACAAGACAGAACAATAAAGCAGAAATATTTTCACTGAAAGTCGGTGAATGTTGATTGATTGTTGGCGAAATATCTCCTCTGTTACTGATTCAACCAATTTTGCTGATTCATCTGAAGAAAGTAGTGAAATGATTATAGTCATTTTAGTGGAAAGCGTTATTATAATGTTTCGGCGACATTAAATCTGTTCTTTTTAGCTGAAATGCCTGAACTGGTGCAATAAGTTAGAATAAAACAAAATATATTTCTCTTACTCTAACTTGTTGCACCAGTATGCACTAGTTCTTTTATTATTAGAACAACAGAGAAATATGATTTTGCGTGAAGCTAAAAATATATATTCCTAATTTTAGTGAAATATTAACTATTTTTGTTCTCTCGGTAGTCCCGAAGCGAAATACGGCCGTGAAGCAAACGAATTAAGACGACTCAAGGCAGATAATTAACGAGAAATCGCGACGACTCGCGCGAAATATTCAAGTGGTGGTGTCATGTGGTTCAGTGAACGAGACGTTTCGCCGGAATACACAACGCGGCCGCGATTCAAAGGCCGCCACTGACAGCACTTTTCAGGGCGCGGCATTTTTCACGTATTTTTCACGGAGCAATTATTCCGATGCCAGCGAGCGAGCGAGCGCGCAAACGAAAAACAACGTGTAAACCTTTCGGTTTTCATGTTAATTTCGCAAACTCCTAAATTCATTTCGATAAATTTCTGAGAGGGGCGAATGACTCGCCCTAAATAAATAGATTTCTCTACATTTTTTTTTAAATTGTATATAATATGCATTTATTTGTCTCAAACAAAAGCTTATAACTTAAAAATCAATTAGAAAAATTCACAAAAATGATCAAAATTTCCTGACAGAATTATTCTAAGAAAATTATTAATGGGATAAACGGCTCATCCCGCTTGGGAATCGAAATGTTAACAACAGGTCAGAAACAGGTTTGATTGACGGGCACGTCCGTGACAGCGGAACATTGTTGCGGTGATAGTTCGAGCTTGTGCAAAATTATGCAGCCCGGAGCGTAAATAAATATCAACGGAAATCGGAGAACGCAAGCGCGCGCCGCGCGAATTTTCATTTCGCGAATTATTGACTTTTCCGGCGGTCTCTGCTGTCGGGATTTACATTCGCTTTTCTAATTATTATTTCCGCGAGGAGAACGACTGCGTAGCTGGACCGACCGCGCTTCGACCGGCGGCAACGCACCATATAAGACTTTAGAGAAGATTTAAGGGGATGCTGGAGTCGATGACGAGCTCGAACAATATCGATAATGCAGAGACGATCGTCACTAACATAATCATCTATCCTTTTCGTATTTCTTGTATATATAGAACTTACATGAATGTGTGTTGCTTTGTTTTACCATATTCAACGGAAAACCTAACCATATATATGTAGAAATTTTTCTGCAAACTTTTTCGATATTTTTAAGCTTCCAAATGCAGATGCGAAAGTGGAGCAATGTTCTTCAAAATTTTTCTGTTTGGAGCATCCACACTTTTAATATATACAAGCTGCGGAACTTTTTGATTAGGCAAATATTAGGCAAATATTACGTTTACTGATAGCTTGAGATTTTACATTAAAAATTTTTTGTTCGTTTTCGTCACATATTGAGCAATATTCCTATTTATTTTTGCACGTATTTTCATTGCGTAAAAGTATTTGTAATTCTGTGTAACCAATACGACGTAAACTTTGCAAAAAAAATATCAGTGTTCTGGTAAAGTTCTGGTATCGGTAAAGCTTTCAGCTTCAGTATCTCCTTAAAGTGAATCAGTGAATAGTCACTGGAATCAGTTGTAAGTATAGCACTAAGCACTTTCAGTGCAACACTTATAACTGCAAATCAGTGTACATTCACTGTTTTCAGTGATGTTTCACTGATTCATTTTAAGAAAGTAAAATTTTCAGCTTCAGCATCCCCTCAAGAGTTGGCTGACGTTATAGACATATAGTTCACATCTCCCATATAATGCTAATTACTATCGTTAAAAACGGAGAGGGAGAGAAAAGAAGAGGAGAGGGAGAAGAG